ACACAAAGTAATAACTTTGTGCCTGATTCCTATCATACCTTCAATTGAACACATGGCCAACACTCCCAACCTCTGGAGGTCTTCAAATCTCCTGTGTGCTCCAGAGGCTGGGAAATCCTGATTAGGACTCCCAGCCAGAGGAACACAGGGAGCTAAGCTTGCTACTTGCCGATGCAGGGGGAGCCTAAGATCAGGCTACCCCTGCACTGGCAATATGGCATGATGGGATCTGATGCTTGATTCCACAACCATGCTTCCTGCATTCATGTATGGCATGGAAGGAAGTGCAATTGCTGGGATCCCACAGCAGAATCCATCTTGCCTTTAAATTAAATCTGTCAGTGTTCTTTGAGATAAAACCTTATGCAATAAAATATATGCCTGCACTTCATAAAATGTAAGTTAATTTCATTTTAAATTCTTTGAAAGTAGTTCAACCAGACAGCTGGCCCTCCCCTTGCTACAGGCTTCAGATAAATAGAAACTGTGGGTATTCGGGAAAGCAAATACTTCCTTTTGGGAAAGAAAACAAATTAAAAGCTACAGTTCAGATTCAAATGGGGCAGAACTCCAGATAAGAACTCCAAAGTCAAAGAGCAACCCTTTGTTTCTTTATAGCAAGTGGGTCCTGCTCCTAGTTCTGCCTCTGCCCCTGCTCACCAAGCCTCTAGTGACAAGTCACAGCTGGGCAGGTAAGGACAATCAGAAAGTTTTTTGCCTTACCATGTGACTGTTCCACTAAGCTGAACAACACTAGGTTAATTACCATTTGTTCAGCTTATAGTATAAGGTCCAACAAGGTCCTTAGGGTGATATCTTAGGGTGATCTCAGTATGCCCTCTCCCTATAACAAGATGCTGAAGACTCCCACCTACTCATTTGCTTTCCTCCCCCTAATGACACTGTAAACCTGGGATAGGCAACCCCTGGCACATGTGCCCAAGCATGGCATGTGAAGACATTTTGCTTGGCATGTGTGCCTTGGGAAGGACAGCCAAGGAGTTGGGAGGGCCCAAACCTTCTTACGGCAGTAGACTGCAGCTCCTTCCCCACCATCTGCCTAAAGATGAGTGTGCATTCTCCACTGGCAATGAGCCAGGCCAGGGCTTCATGGACTTCAGTGCAGCTACTTGCAGCCTCCCTGCTGCCTGCTGCAAGCAGCCTAGGCTTTGTGGCAGGCATGGACTCATTGGGGTGGATGGTGGGGAAGGGTTCGGGGCTGCACTGCTACAAGGGTAAGGCCCCTTGCAACTCCTTCCCTGTCCACCCCTGGCATGCCAACATCTTAGATGTTGAGGTTGTGGGTGTTTTTCAGCACTCTGACCAAAAACACTGCCTAACCCTGCTGTATGCCACATTGAAATGACTCCACATTACTCTGGGTGTGGACAGACATACAACTAAAATGTTTCCAAATAAAATACACTCACAAATGCTCCAGAAAGGAAATGTTTCAGCTGGTGGGCACACGTACACCCTCATGTTCTACTGTTTGGAACATTTCAAAATGCTGCAGCTTCTTCCAGCCAGTATTGGGTAGGGGGCACTTGAACAGGCTGCAGCAACCAGCATCTTAGCTCCCCTCAGCAACTGGCATCTCAGCTTCATTTCCTCTCCCTTCATAGTGATGGAAGGTAAAGGAAGAGGAGAGCTGAAACCAGAGCAGTGAAGTACAGGATGTGGGAGGAAGGAAAGAAGCAGGGGCTGCCCTCAGCTTTAGCCTCAGCCCCAGCTGGGCTTCTATCAAGCAGCTCCTTATCTAGCACCTGGGACCTGAGGATATACTTTTAAGTATCTTGAAACGTCTTCTCTCTTGGGGTCCTTAAAACAGCAGTAGGAAGAGTAGTGCATATTACTAATATCACCAATGTAAACATTAACAAATAATTTAGACTATGCAAATCATGACACTAACTTAAAAACTTCCCCTCTCTCTTATTAATTGAACTTCAGTTACATAGCTGGGCTCTACAACTGTATGACAGTTGAAATTTTCATATGATCTCTAGCAGATGGGATTGTAGGTTAAATAACATATCTCAGATATGTATGCAAAATGATTGATATGAATTGGCCACATTGCATGGGAAAAGTGCCCTCTCTCCTGGTAATGAATGGAATGGTGTTATTATGCTAATATTTCTTCACCACTATTCTCTTTGTTTTGCTATTCTGTTCCATTTCACTACCTTTGAAAAACAACTAGTCATTAGCCTGTATGATGGCCAAAAATTAAATGAAAAATGTTGAGATTTAAATTTCTTGTGTTCTTCCATTTCTCGCCTAATTGTGTACCAGATATTAACATAGCCAAAAGGAAACAAAGAAAGACAATTTAGTTATCCTTGCTATGCTAATTCACTGTTTTTCCCTCTCTTTAAAGAGAAGTACTGATTTTCAATGAAAACTGGTTTTCATTTCATGACAATACATACGTTCAGAAGAAGCTGAAATTCAGCTTATTGTCACTGGGTACATCTCCACATTCATTAATGCAATTTGCTAAAGAGCATCCATTGTGAGGAACTAGAAAAAGGTGCATTTGGGTTTTTTGGGATGCTTTGATGCACATTAAAATAGGCTAATACGCATTAAAGTGCACATGTAGATGCACCCACTGTTAGTTAAACCACCAAAATGTAACATATTTTTGAAAGTGAATGTCATATATTTTAGCTTTCTTTTAACTCATTACTCAAGTTTACCTCATATCTTTGTGTGTGTGTTTTGCTGCTACTTAGTTATTTCTGTCATTAAATAATGGTGGAATATTTCCCGTGGCATTCTAGCACACAGAAGTAAGTAGGTAATCATCAGAAAGATATTTTTAATACACCTTCACTATTTCAAACAACTCAACTTTGACTTTTTTATTTAAATTGAAGTGTGAAAATGATTTACATTGTTACAACTCCAAATTCATTGGTAGTGCTTTTTCCTTGTTAACAGGAAGCCAAATAGCATGTTTTTATTTGCCCCTGAAGGAAATAATGTTTTTAAGTGTGTAATCCTCCTCCTCCAACCTTTGGCAATATAAAGACCTAGGAATACAGAATGTCATTTGAAATGTAGTACATGGTATTTATCTCTAAATATCTTTGCTCAAAACTAGACTTTTAACAATCATTACAGTTTGATAAGAAGCACTGTTTTTACTGGATGTCCTCAATGGATGTTTCACCTAATTAAAAACAATAGCATTGGATTTTAAATGTAGTTAAGATGAGACATAATTGACTTGAGACAAAGCAAAATTTCTGTTTCACACTTGTGCAGTACAATGCCTAGACAAACACAGAAACTGTATTCAAATCTGGTAGTCAGTCAATAGGAAATATGATTCTAACTGGCTTTATTCAATGCAAGTCCCCTGGCACGGCTTTATGAACACTCATGGTGCTCTGGAGAGGTGCCGGAGGATTGGAAGAGGGCCAACGTGGTTCCCATCTTCAAAAAGGGGAGGAAAGAGGACCCGGGGAACTACAGGCCAGTCAGCCTTACCTCGATCCTGGGCAAGCTGTTTGAGAAAATTATTCTGGCAC